GATCAGAATTTAGGGCAGCACGGTGGAGCAACTGGTAGAGCTGCTGCCTCTCAGCGAGCAGGTCCCCAGTTCAAATCCCGGTCCGGTGCCCTTTCTGGGTGGAGGTTACATGTTCTCTCCGTGCATGCGTGAGTTTTCTCTGGGTGCTCCAGTTTCCTCCCACAAACCAAAAACATGCATGTTAGATTAATTGGTAACTCTAAATTGTCCATAGGTGTGAGTGAGAGAGTGAATGGTTGTTTGTCTCGTTTGTCTCTATGTGTCCCTGTGATGGACTTGCGACCTGTCCAGGGTGTACCCCACCCTTTGCACAGTGATTGCTGGACATGGGCACCGGTAACCCCCGTGACCCAAAATGGAAGAAGTGGGTAAAAGATAATGGATGGATAGATCAGAATTTATGGGTAGGACAAGAGAAAGTTTACCAACAGATTAAGACTACCAGAATATGTCCCGCGTTTTGATGGATGTATAAAAAGTGAGAGTTAATTTTGCCAACAACTGACTGGCTCTACTCACCTTCTTGAGGGTGTTTCGGTTCCCCTGCATGTAGTTCCGGTGCATCTCCAGCACTTTCTGCGGTCGGCTGCGAATCCACGCACTCAACGTCTCGATGGGCGACCCGTTCACGGACCACTCCGTCACACCAAACTGCCTCAGGTGGGCTCGAGCATGGCTTGCTAAAGCCTTCCGGTTCTCAAAGTAGAACCCGCACAGCTCACAGCTGGGGTCTGAAACCCACAAAGAAAAAGTATATCAAGGGTGGTTGATGATAAAATGGGGCTCAGTAGGAGTAAAACACTTGCAACTTACCCTGGTGTGCGTGCTTGTCTGGTGAGGGTTTTCTTTTAAAGGAGAAATCGTGTGGAAGCGATGAGAATGTCTTAAGTCGGTGTGGAGGTGACTGGGCCATCTCCACGGACTGGGCCTCCTCTGATAAAGGCCTTTTCCCCAAAGGTGACATCCTGAAAAACTTGCCTGCTGGTTGGGGAGCAGAGAGACCCACAGAGCCCAAGCCCTGCTTTTGGAACTTTGATCCGGACTGGACCAAATTAAGAGGTTTATGAAATTTGGAGGACTGATAACCTGAAGAACCCAAACCCTCGGAGCTGCCGGTACTGCTTGTGTTATCCCATGAGGGGTTGTTAGTTCTGTGAGCGGACTCTTTCTTCAGTCCCTGGTTCGAGTGGGACGAACCACCCCTCCCTCTCTTTTTCATGACTTCCCTCAGGGTGTCGATGGGCGAGCCGTTGACCGACCATTCTGTGATGCCCATTTGTCGCAGGTGGGAGCGCGCGTGGCTGGAAAGACCTTTGCGATTTTCAAAATATTCCCCACAGAACTCGCAGCGAACGTCCGTCAAAGGCTCCACCGCTTCGCTGGTCATGGCTGAGAAAGACCAAGAGAAAACACAGCACGTTGGGCATTTAATATAATAAATAACTAGAGGAATATCATTTCCTGTGGAAAATACAGAGTGAATGCTTATTGCTGAATGAATTGTTGCTGAAAGCTGCTGAAAAGGTTTCATCGCTAAACGTTTCTAGTTAAATATGAGCAGCTGACATTTGCTGAAAGCAGGACAATAAAAGCAGAAAGTATGAGAAAACGCTGAATAGAGCAGAAATTAGTAAAACAAACTGAAATAGACAGAGGCCGCTGAATACATGACAAAAAAAATCTGAAATTAGCAGAAAAAAATCTGAAATTAGCTTAAAAACATTATTGAAAATGCAAAAAAGAAAAAGGGGGGGGGGGAGCTACAAATAGCAGAAAGAGGCTGAAAGGAGCATAAAAAGTTTAAATAATTTTTAAAAAGCTCAAAAGGTAGAAATAAGCAAAAAAAAAAAAAAAGTAGATGAAAGGGACTTAAAAAGCAGAGATTAGCGCAAAGAAGCTGAAAAAAAGCTAAACTAGAAGAAAAGCTGGAATAAGCCATAAAAGGTTTTAAACAGCTCAAGGTGTTTGAACAATGAGAAAAACATGGCCTAACAAGCTAAATAATTAAAAAAGTTAAAATAGCACAAACACCAAAGGTCACAGCAGGAATGTTGTGAACGAGCCGAACGTTTTGATGCATGAATTGTTGAAATAACACAAAAACTGTGGAACAAGTTACGTGCTTAAAAAAATAAAATAAACGCACGGAAGAAAAACGGATCACAATAGCGAGAATGATTTATGAACATCCACACCGTTAGCCATTAAATGAGTACTTTATATTTTAAAAAAGTGAATTGTGTAATGTATTTTACTAGATAATCATAACTGTAGTGTAAGTTTGCTTTGGTAGCCTAATAATTTAGGATAAACAACTATTGTACAACACTGAATCCAAAACAAATTTCTCCAAGAAAATACAAGATTTTTATTTGATCTAATATACAGTATTTATTAGACCGTTTTGTGTTGTATCATAATGCACCTATTTTAATATACCATGTCATAGTATTTCCTATTATAATGTAGTATATCATGTATTGTATAGTATATTATATTATATTATATTGCTTTTTATTGTATTACAGTATATTGTTTCAAATGTGCAACAGCAAAGTTTAAACTCTACTTAAGATCAGGAACAAACCTGGCCACAAGTTGTCAGGACTGCTTTGATGGAATAGATTTCTAGATTCAATAACTATTTAAGAGAGCAATAAGAAGTAACCTGACCAACAGATCTCCTTGTGTGAACAGAGCAAGCTCCGCTTCTCTCATGCATCCTAACCCCCCATCCCAGGTCAACAGGTGATGGCACTAGCGTAGCACTAAACTAGCGCGCAACAAAAATGTCTCTTCCCCTCCTCCCCCTGCTCCATTGTCAAAAAAACCTTAGAGATGAATGCCCTGCCAAGGCAAGTGACCTCAGGGAAACATTGCATGTGGTGAGTTGTTGTAGGTAATCAGGAAAACCTGGAGTGGACTTTTACTGGTTTGAGTATTCTCCTATTAATCAAGTGAAATGGATTCATTCATGAAGAAATAGAAACAACGCTGGGTGAATTAATATTTCATGGTAAATGTGTGTGTGTGTGTGTGTGTGTGTGTGTGTGTGTGTGGGGGGGGTCCCAAATGAATTTTTTTTAAAATGTGACAGGGACACGTCCTCATCACATATAATTGATGCGACCCCTATGCCATGGAGTTATCGTAATGTGCAACACAAGGTAGACTTAGAAACCGAGGTTTCATAAACAATGGATGATGAAATGTTCATTTGTTTTGTCCCAGTTCAGCTCGAGGCGCATGCGACTAATTTCATCAGAGATAGCTGAACTTGTGAAAACTGTCAACACTTTTTGTGCCAAAAATTATGTAGTTCACTGGCCCAGACAAGCAAAGACTTTGTTTGAACTTAGACCTTGATGTGTGCCCTTGACCTTGGAGCTGGAGTGATAAAATTGTACATGCAACTCTTCGTCTAGTGATGATGCGTGTCGTGTGTGTATAAAGTTTTGTTAAATTATCTTGAGTAGATTAGAAGTTATGGATGTATAAAGACTGTTCCAAATGGTAAAATATATTTTAGCTGTGAGCACAAGTATTGAGTGATTAGTTTATCACTGGTTGATCTGGTCCTTCGACATTCTCCTGTAATCAGATTAGCATGTTTGACTACCAACTCTGAGAACCTCTGATGTTTAATTTGTCTAAAAAAAACTTCCATTGAATAAACTATCTTTGCTCATTAATTTATAATATACTGAAGGTTTGGACATACGGTAAGTTTAGTCAGATAGAAAAAGTTACCCAAGTTGAGAGGGCCCCCGTTGTCAGAGCTGCCCCAGCTGGAGCTCAGAGACTCCGCAGGAAAACCTCCAGATCTCCCCACAACCCCTGGCTTGGTGACCTCCAGCTGCACCGGCTCGGGTTTTGGCTTCAGCGACAGGCCGCTCAAAGATGACAAAGGAGCAGAGCTGGACTTGGATGCTGCCACCTGAGGGGGACTGGAGGGTCGGGCGAAGGCGAAGGGAAGGCGGCCGAGGAGGCTACGGGAAGGTGACGAGGAGGCTGACAACGGGGAACGAGGGGGTATAGGAGAAGATGGCGGTGGGGTTTTGCGAGGTTTTAAAGGAAGGGCGCAAGGCAGGCCTCGCCTTGTGATGACCTCTCGCAAGGTGTCGATCGGTGAACCGTTGACAGACCACTCCGTGATGCCCATTTGGCGAAGGTGGGAGCGAGCGTGGCTAGACAGTCCCTTCCTATTCTCAAAGTACTCCCCACAGTACTCACAGCCTATTTCCTTTGGAGGTTCACCTGAAAGACCAGATGGTTATCAGATGTTACATTTGTTGAGATGAATGCCCTTTTATGATAATAATTACACAATTGTCACTCACTGTGTGGAACAGCCATAAGTTCTCCACTACTGAGGCGAAAGACCTGCATGGAAGAAGTCTTGAGACGCTTGGCAGGTGGGCCTGGTAAAGACGAGGCCGAGGAAGAGGTAGTTTTGGACGTTGACCCACCCCCAGCTGTGGACACCTTGTAGATGAGGGATGAAGAGGAGGAAGAAGAGAGAGTCAGCAGAGGTTGTTTTGAGGAGGAAAGTGTTGCAGTCCTTTCCTGTGGTTCCGTAGGACCGTCCAGCTCCAGTGCGCTGGCTTTGTGCTTAAAGTCATCAGTGTCCATGAACTCGTTCAGATGTCTGATGGGGGAGCCCTTGGCCTCGGAATACTGCACACCAAAGTGTCGCAGGTGGGCTCGAGCGTGGCTGGACAGGCCTTTGCGCGTCTCAAACCAGGCGCCACACAACTGGCAAACAAGGTCTTTATCGGAGTCTGCCTCCAGTGCTGCAAAGGAGAAAAAAATGGATAAATGCACAAAAATGAATGTTTAATCTAAATTACATGCGGTCCTAGAGATTCAGGCTTACTAAGGTTGAGAGGAGCATCATCCTCCTGTGGTGCCCAGAGCGGTTTGGCTGTGCTGATTGAAGAGGCAGCAGAAAGGTTAGAGGTCAGGCTTTTCACTCCCCCAGCCTTGTGCTCCGGGGAGCGCAAGGGGGAAGACACAGGCAGTAGAGAGGAAATGGGGGCTTTCTTCACTACTGAGGAAGGTGATTCAGAGTGAGATGGAGCTGGAGAGGCACAAGGAGAAGGTGTGGGCGTACGGGAAGTGGAGGGTGGCAGCGCTGGTTTTGCTGCTTTGGCCATGATGGAGAGCGAGATGGGCTTCTCATCCAAGTCCATGTCTTCGAGCTCCTCATCCTTCAGGGGAGTGGAGAGGGCGGGGCTCTTCGCCGAGGGCAGCTTCATAAGAGACGGGTGGAGTTTGCCATCTATGCTGCGCTCCTTGACGATTTTGTGGAGGATTTCGATGGACGGCCCGCTGTTCTCTGCCACCGTGATGCCGAGCTGGCGCAGGTGTGCACGGGCATGGATAGACAGGCCGCGCTTACTCTTAAACTGGGAGTGGCACACCTCGCACTTCAAGCTGCGGCCTGCGAAACAGAAAAGATTGTCTTGTTAGAAACTTCAGAAAACCGGCGAATGAGCCTCGTCTTTTCAAACGTAAACTGGGACAGATCCCGTGGAAGTCTGCGTGCAACAGCAACAACAGATCACAGGTCCTGATCTGAGGTCAGGGTTGTCATTCTTAGACATTTATTTTGACTATTACCAATAAAGAGTGATTGTTGAACATCCATACATTCATTATCTTTACCCGCTTTTTCCTTTTCAGGTCACAGGGGTCACTGGTGTCCATGTCCAGTTATCACTATGAGAGAGGCAGGGGACACCCTGAACAGGTCTCCACAGGGACACACAGGGACAAACAAGACAAACAACCATTCACTCTCTCACTCACACCTAGACAATTTAGAGTTACCAATCAGCCTAACATGCATGTTTTTGGTCTGTGGGAGGAAACTGGAGTACCAGGAGAAAACCCACACATGCACGGAGAGAACATGCAAACTCCACCCAGAAAAGTCTGGGGCTGGGATTTCAACCGGCGATCTTCTCGCTGAGAGGCAGCAACTCTAACAACTGTGCCACCCAATTGTTGAACATTCCTCTTAAATGAAAATATACAATTTGGAGCTTCCCAGCGTCTTTCTGCTAACGTATTTTATTTTGAAAGTGCTACCAGTATACAGTAGTCCCTCGTTTAATGCAGGGGATCCGTACCCTGAAGACCTGCGATAAGTGAAAGACTGAAAAGTAGGAATAGTAGTACAAGTAGTAGTTTCAGCTCCCTGCCTTGGCTGCTCTCTGCCATCTGAAAGCACTTTCGGCCACGCCCACTTGTCCTGTCTGCATGGAGATCAGCTGGAAGAGGAAGCTTATTTTGCAGTATGGGCTGTACAAAGGTGCTAAAAAAATTTAAAATAATTTATTTTTTAATAAAAATGTCATGCCGATTGTGCAGTTTATCCATCAATCAATTGTGTGTCATATCCAAATCTTATTTTGAAAAAACGCGACAGAGCAAGTCCACGATAAACGAACCGTGAAGTAGCGAGGGACTACTGTATAATGGAAACTATGATCACGGGTGAGCACAGCACGTGCACCGTCCTCCACATTGATCAAGTGGATACAT